AGGAGAGGGTACGGGGGGCGAAGGGCGGCGGAGGGAGGCTGGGTCGGCGGGGAACGCAGTGCCACGCACAGGTGCTGTTACAGATCGTAGCCTGAAACCTGTACTAACCAGTGTCACCCCAATAAATTCAGTAAGATAAAATTTAAAAAGGGAAGAAAAAGAGGGAAAACTACCAGAACAAACGAAACCGCTAAAACTGGTCGCCGCAAAAAAAAAAAAAAAAAAAAAAAAAAGTTGTTGCCTGAGAAGCAGGACTGTTGGGGGCAGAGGGCAGGAGCAAGGCACTGTGGGTTTTCTTCATAAACCTTTTGCTACCATCTCATTCTTCTTAAAAAAAAAAACAAACACCCACCACCAAGCATTTATACTCTATTTGAAAAAACCATGTGTGGTGCATTTAGAAACAAAGGATTTACGCCATAAGGGACGTTGAGCGGTCTCAAACATGTTGGGAACGGTAAAATAATCTTGGGACGATCCCCTTAGAAAACCAGGGTGTGAAACGCCACCAGAAGCCGCTGGGGACAGGTGTCCGGGCCACGGGAACCCGCCCCCGGCGCCCCGGGCGGGACTCGCGCGACCCCCGCGAGGCGGCGGCGGAGTGCGCAGGCGCGGGGCGCGCGTCCTCCCTTCCCGGAAGTCGCCGGGGAAGGTTCGGAGGGACCGCAAGACCCTGCGGTTTGGCAGCTTCTCTGAGCGAAGAGACGCGACTGAGCAGGAGCCAGGACTCAGCGCCGAAGGTGCCAGCGGCGGGGCCACCCCGCTCGCAGCTTGAGGAGACCACTCCCTGCCCCTCCTTACGGTCGCGGATGAGCCCAACGGAGCCGAAGAGCGGGGCGCGCGCCCGGCAACCGCGGCGGCAGACCCTGAGGCCGGGGGAGAAAAGCGGGGCCCCCTCCGCCAGTGACGGCTGGTGGAAATCTTCCGGCGGAAGCCGAGTGTATGCTGAGCGCTGCAAGGGACAGATTAATTTGAAGTTAAACTGAAGGTGTTTAAAGGCAACGCGCCGTTGAATGCAGTGCCTGGGCCCAGAAGACGCCGTCTGGGATGCCTCGTGCCTCGTTTGGCTTTCAGAGTTAGTAAAGAAAAAGCAAAGCAGATGTTCTCTAAATCATTCGATTTAGCACCATTTCTTGAACATCTTCTCGATGGCAGCCCCTCTCATCTGGTCATGACCCTTGGAATACTGCAGGATAGACTTGTGAGCTTCTTCAAGAGCGCTTCATCAACGTGACACAGCTCGGGTTCCTTCAAGGCGGAGCCTGCGGTGCCACAGCACAGACCTGAACGGTCGCGGGGGAACCAATTTAGCGTCGAAGAGGGTGGAGCAGGGCCTGCACAGCTGGAAAACGAGCAGGGGAATGAGCAAGAAGGGACTTGATCAAGAAAACCGAGTGAAGAGAATCTTAGAAGTGTTGTGAAATTAGCCTTGAGACGCTGCTAAAGCATCTGTTTTTGTCCTTAATGATTGATACAGATTCTTTTTCTCCCACTGTGGAAAATATTTTTTATATGGCCTTCAGTATAAGAGATGGTTTAGCAAGAATGAAGACTGACCAAAATAAACCGCCAGTAATAGAGCCTTTCAATATTAAGAAAGTGAATGAAGTGACCAGAACCCCCAGGTTTAGAAACAAGGTAGTTTTTGGTTTTCAGTACTGGTAGGAATCTGCAAAATTTGTAAATGTCAAATGCTGTGTTTTCTTCCTGCTATTGCAAAGGCTGGGCTCTAAGATATCAATCTTTTGTGGGGGGGAAAATTCACTAGCATATTCATAAAAGGGGAAAAAGGAAAGAAATCTGGCCTTTCATTTTACAGATGAGGAACCTGTGACCCAGAAAGGGAAATGACTTGTCAAAGATCACACTGAATCAGACCTGGGAGCTGGAGTCATGCTCTTTGGCAGTGCCTCTCCTTACTCTGGGAGCTCATACCCCACTGTAACAGACAGAATGCGAGTGTCGCATCAGAAGAGGTTCATAAATCTATTCATCGTACTGAAGTACTGGCAGGAGATAAGAGGATTGGTTCTTTGGGATTAGACAGGATTTTAAGAAAATCTTAGTGACCCAAGCTCTACTTTATGATACAGATTTCTTTGGGAGATAAAATGGGTGAAATATTTTTTTCAGAGTTTAAGCAGGGTATGGGTAATCACTTATTGGGGTTATTGTCAAGAGGATTCAAATCACCGAAGTCCTTTCCAACCTGATTGTTTTGTTATTAACTGTCTTTCAGGACATATGTGCCCAGGAAGTATAGAGAGGAAGGAAACATCCTGCTTCAGTGTCTACTTTGAGTCAGGTATTGTGTTGTGCATTTTCATAGATGTTAATTCACAGTCTTCACTCTAAGCTTTCTAGATAGGTATACTCAGTCTACCTCAGGAGTTCACAAAGATTAGGTAACATGCTCCAAGCCATGCAGATAATAGGTGGTACAATTAACACTGTATTACACCATGTCTCATCTCCAGATGAGTGGGCAGAAGAGGATTACACATTTGTTCCCCATCCCCTCCCAAGTGTAGGTAACCCCTTGCACTGCTCAGTGAGTCTTCAGAGCAAGCAATTCCCATTACCCTCCTGGCCTAGCAGCTAGGGATGAAGCTGCAGTGGAGGCAGGGACACTCCTACTAAAAGAAAGGCATTTTGGTTGGCACATGTTCACAAAGCCTCCAGAGTTGCAGAGCTTAACATAATAGGCAGATTCTCATTGAATAATGAAGCCAAACTGCTTTCAAAATTCCCAGTTTAATAGCTCACCCTGGAAGACGAGACAAAAGATTCAGCTTTGAGACAAGCTTGAACCATGATGACAGGAACTGGTTTGTGAAGGAAGAGGCAGGGATGAAGGGACCTAGGGAGTCAGACAACATCTGGAGCTCAAGTAGTTTGTGCTGCTGAAAGTCAGCAAGATCATTTTTTTAAGATTTTATTTTTAAAAGCAGTTTTAAATTCCTAGCAAAATTGAAAGGAAAAGTACAGTGAGATGTTCCACACATAGCAAGATTATTTAATGATCTTGAGTAAATGGCCATTTCCAGCAGGATCCACCCAATTTTTTGTGCTTCAGGGAGCATGAGCCAGCATCCCCTTGAGAAAAGGTATATGTGCTAGAGGCAGACTTCAGAGATGTCATCCCATCCCCATGTCTCTGCCTTTCTAAAGATGAACCCTGCTCCTGTCCTGTTGTTACATCTCAGATTAAACATACTCCCCGTGTTCATACTGTATCCATACTATACATTTCTGTGTCTTGAAAAGTGGCCATGGGGATGAGAAATGCACCCGTTAGCTGTGGGCTACCTGAGGCATGTCAGTCACCTTCCTACTCTGGTATCTTCCATGGCTACCAGTTAGCCACAGAATTAAGTACCAATTCCCCAGCCTTCAGTCTGGTTTCTTTCTGGCCTCTTTATCCATTCCCTATAGCCCACACTGCCTCACCCATTCCGGCTGCGTGAGATTCCTCCTTCCTTGACTAGATTCCACCCTTCCCTCCTTCCAATCCTCTGCTAGGTTTCTTCTTCTGTAATTCTCCCTGCCCCTACACATTCCACCAGTTCAAATCTTCATCTTCCCTCCAAGTACAGCTTCAGTGGTGTAAGATTGCAAAGCAAAACTGATTTTAGCAAACTCTACTACAGGACAACCATGGACCAAAGCAGTTGGACGGTGGGGATTAAGTTCACTTCTAGCTCAGAGGCCATCCAGGAGGTCAGGATCTCTGCAGAGATCTGTGGAACCAACCTGCTTTCCTGAGGCGTGGCCTTCATGCTGCCAGGACTTGCACTACCCCTTAGGAGAAACTGGGCAGCAACAGCTGAGTCACACAGGCTGCCAGGGGCCAGCTAGGAGCAGAGCTGAGTTTCTTGGCATTTCTCTCACTTTCCCTTGTGGCAGACTTCTGCGGCTGTGCTGGGATTCAGACCTATCTCTGCTCCACAATGAGATACTTCAGTTCACTCGGGATTTATTCACTCCAGTGTGCCTCTCACCTTAGCCCCAATCCGTCCATTCTTTCCCTCACTCATGATCACAGTATCAAAGCAACCCTAAAATGGGACTGCTGTGTTTGAGTTTAACACCTCCTGCCATGCTTCTTATCCTCTGCATGCTTTCGGTTACCTCCTGAAGCAGACAGTGCCCCTCACCTGGAAACCCTGCCCCAGCAGACACCTTGTCAGGTTGGAGCAAGTCCTGGTGCCTTGAGCAATTTACTTTGCTTGCCCTCACAAACACTTTGTTGACCAAGCAGTCCCATCTCTAACCTCCAGCAGAAAACTCAAGTGGGTGACCGGAAGGCAGGAGCCAGGTCCCATCAGTACCTGTGATTGCGTCCCAGACCCGCAGTATGTGGGTCCACCCTCTTATCTAAGCTTAGTCAGATCTTGCAGAATGGGGCTCTACTGAGATCCAAACACATTAGCTACTTGATAGAGGAACTCATTCCTGGCACCTAGCAGCTATTCAGAGTATGGTTGATTCAAAAGGGGAAGGGAAAAGAGGGTCCAGTGTAACTTTAGATGAAGATTTATATTTCACAAGAGGCTCTGTGAACTTCAAATTTTCAGAACAAACTCTGAGCATGTCAGATCTGTCCATGGGACCCAAAGTCTTAGCTCCATTCTGAGCCGTGGTACATACCAGCCAAGGTCTGGACAGCTCCTGGTTCCTGACTCTCTTGGGCAGACCCAACAGAAGCTCACATTCCTGCTATGGATGTCACTGCTAGTTGATTCCTATTCAATTCCTGACACTTGACTTTGGGCTCTGAGCTGTTGAGATGGCTCCAAAAAGTATTACTCAACAGAGGTCAAGTCCACTGGCCTCACAGAGCACCTGTGCATCTGGGATCTAAGCATATCCAAGTTGTCTTTGTTCCCTTCAAGCTTTACATCTTCAGGGTTCCACTGTGGAGAAAAGACATAAAAGGTTCCTTAGTGGAACACATCCTTCTTATCTCCTACAATCCCCTAACAATAGGTCCAATACACAAGGACAAACAGGTAAGGACAGGTTAACCAGGCCTGTGTTTCTAGGACCTAACAGGGCAAGCATAACTTTACATGAAGGAATTAATGGACAGTCACCCTGAACAGACCAGCCCCCACCCCCTCACCATCCCCTTTTTCCCTGTTGTCACCAAGTCCTTCTCTAGTGAGACTGTCATATTCTCTTTATCCTAAGAATTCCCACCTCCATGCCTAACTCATTCCTGGAAAAGACCAGCAAATCCAACCCATTCTTTATGGTCCAGGTGAGTACCTCTTCTAGGAAGCCTACCCCGACTGCTTATGCCCATTGAGCTCCCACCCCCTTCTCTCTTTGTACTGCCTGTACCACTCATTTGCAGCTGAGCATGGACAGCCCTGCCCTTTCCCTGGGCATCTCCCTTGTCCTGTCAGGTAGATGAACTCCTTAAGAGCAGGGCACTGATCTGTTCTTGTCCCCCTCACTGCCCCCGACTATGGTGTTTCCTCTAAACTTGAGGTCAGTAGACTTGTCAAAAACAAACACTTAAAACCTAATTCAGAGTGGTCACAACCAGTGAATATTTCATTGCTCTCAGACAAGTATGGAAAATTGAAATTTGCAGGGATAAGAAAGGTTAAAAAAGAGAGGTGGGCACACAGCACTGGTGAAGCTATTTGTGAAGTCCTCCTATTGCTCTAATATGATGGATGAGAGAGGGAACTTTGCACATGGACCAAGAGAAGGGAATCCTTAGTGATTCCAGCCATGAAGGCAAGTGAGGCGTTGGGCTCAAGTCTTCCTTCTGTCACTAATGCTTTCTCTTCTCTGGGCCTTGGTTTCTCCATGTGTAAGCTGGGATTTTGTATCAGTAACTAGGTAATACGATCTCTTTTCTTTCTGAGTTTCTATGACTAACGATTCTGAGTCATAGGTCGCATTTGATAGAATCAAAACACCCGGAAAATAACAAGCAAAGGCCAAGTAGGCTGTATCAGCCCAGGCCAGATGATCTCTTTGGGCAAGAAAATAGAGTCAGGCATGGACATGCACTCCAAGAAAAATGCTTCACCAGATATTAAAATTGGAACTGTCAATCAGTCTAGTTCCTAAAGGTCCAGGATAAGGTCTTCAAGCCTTCCTGAGCCTGATAGTACCCATACCATGCCAGTTATAAAACACAAATTATGGCTTTGTTTTGGATAGAGAGTCTGATTCAATGAGTGATTTACTGATAGTAACAACTGAATTCTACTACTTTGTGATAAAAAACAGCATCATGTTAAAAAGACTACCTCATCCCCACTAACTGTGCAGGCCAGGGACTAAGCTAATTTGGTTGGTGCAGCTCAGTCCCCTGAACCTGTTTGGGTCTGTGCCAGCCACTCCCAGTGCTTATTTCTCACTTACTTGTGGCTGCAGATTTGGGGGGGGTACATGTCTAAGCAAACTCCTTTGTGACTTAATCAAAGATCCCACACAGAAGAGCTTTCCAGCCCCTCAGCCTCTGGGGCCCAGTTGCCCCATGGCAGAAGTCGGAGCCTGTTCTCTGAGGATGGAAAGTGTGCTTTTTGATAAATGCTGTTTTCCAGCTAAAGCCCACGTTCTATATCACAGTTCTGAATGTGCTCTGGACCAACCTCACACAGTTCTGATTGTGTTCTGGTGACCCACCCTAGACCTTGTCTCTGGGTTGAGATCTAAGATTTTGCCCTGATGTTTCAGAGCCACTGCTCCAATTCTTGCTACACCTGACCAAGTCAGCTTCCAGCTAACAGAAATAGCCCGCCACTTTGATCAAGTCAACTCTTTGAAGTGGGTTAGGCTGTCAAAAACATTTTAAATCTCTTCTGATTTCCCAGAATAATGTGTTTTAAAACTTCATTTTAAGAAATAAAAACATTGCTAGAATCCAGCCATAAAGAGAATTTGAGCAAAAGATGATCTGTCTTATCAGAAACAGTCCTGGGAGACAACAGGCACAGGTGGTTATCAAAAAACATGTGCTGATCCATCACTTGGAGACAACAGCCAGCTGCCCAAGGTCTCAGGATGAAAATGTGGGGGAATGTTTAGCTCAATTACTGCAGCCACGCCCAGCACCACTAACCAGTGGCATCCTGCGGTTATTCAGCTTGTTCAAACACCTCTTTTCCAAACCAAGTTTCTTCCTTGGGTTACTCATCTTCTCTGAGTCCGTACTAGATGGTTTGGGCAAAGCAGAAAGAACTCTGAACTGAGAGAACCTGGAAAATTCCCTGATCCTAAGACTGACCTCTCATTTTCACATTCTTTTTTTTCCTAAAGGGATCTGGCATGGTCCCAGCCATCCAAGGGGAGGCTAACAAAAACAGGAACTGAAATCAAGCCGCAGGAAGTCCCTCTTGGAACAGAGAGAGAGAACAACTGTCCATACCTGCTCCAAGTTTAGGGCTTCCCAGTACTTGTGCTGCAGATTAAAAAGAAAGAAAGAAAAGTGTTTGATAGATTCTGCTCCCATTACAGAGCAGAGCAGAATTCAGCACCTGCCGCTGACTGCTCAGTGAGCCAGGAGGCAGGCCCTCTGATGGTCTGAGGGCAAAGGAATAGCTGACTTCAGCAAGCAGAGAGGCAGCAGCTTTAAGCAGCTGCAATTGAGTTAAATGATCAATAGAATAATTGTGATAATTATGAAGGGCTGCAGGTCCTTGGAAAAATTATAACCCATACAGATTTTTAAATGCCTATTATTAGAAATTATTATTACCAGGTATAATAATAATAACTCTTCCACTTATTAACCACATGGTGGAGATGAGTCAACTCAAAACCACAAAACTAAGAGAGATACAAATAAAATCCCCACCTTGAAAATATGAGGTATTTGCTACCAGCCAAGATTCATTTTTAATCAGCCTTTATTGCACGATTGGTTCCACCCCAAGCCTCAAATATGTCTGAGTCAGTTCTTGAAGGGTGGCTTCGCAATCTGCTCGCATCCTCAGGCACTGCATGCAGTGCCTGGGAGACATGTTCTGACAGAGCTATGAATCTACAAATGCCAGTTGTATTGATCTGTGAATGTCTATTAAGTGGAACAGCTGTCAATCTGAGCAGTTCACGGGATTTGGCATTATTGTCACATTAAAACCAAGCCTCTATTGTTCAGTTCTTTTACATTTCCATTTTAAACAGCTTTTCAATTATAAGATTTTCAGTCATACACAAAGAATAACCTCATAAACACCTATGGACACATCCTGTTTTATTTGCTTTAGCTCCTCAATTTTTTTATTGGCTGAAGTATTTTAAAGTAAATAATTATAAATGCTTCAACAGGTGTCTCATTGATAAGGACATTTTTTAAAATTCTAAGCACAATGCCATTATTATACCTAACAAAATTAGTAATAATTGCATAGCATTCATGTTTTAATGACATCCTGATGGGGGGATATAAACAGAAAAAAAAAGATTAATTTGAGAGACACAAAATCACTAAAAATGATGGTTCCACACACACTGCAAAAAACAGAAATGTTGATGACAACATAGGGGTCCAAAAGTTAAATAGCTTTTACAAATAAATATAGACATTCATGCAAAATAGAAACTGTAATCTGTGGTCACCACAATGAGTGAGTGTTTGTTAAAAAAATTACTAAATATAATGTGATATACTGGATTGTTACCTGGAACAGAATAAGAATATTAACGGACTATTGGCGAAAGCTAAATAAAATGTGAAATTTAGTAATGTACTAACATTAATTTCTTAGTTTTGACCAATGTAGCATGGTTTTTATATGATGTTAACATTAGGGGAAACTGGGCAAAAGTATACAGGAACTCTCTGTACTACCTTTGCAACATTTCCATAAATCTAAAATTATTCCAACATAAAAGTTTATTTAAAGCCAAGCAAACAAACAAGCAATCAAATAAAGAAGCTTAAGGGTCCCCCTGACTGGGTTGAAATGAAACCTTGAAACTTCTTTCCCAGTCTTCAGCATCACAGGCAATTTAATATTTAAGAAGAATGCCCCCTAGTGGAAGTAGTAGCAGGGTTTTTAAAAAATTTAAACCAATAAGGATAACGTGCCTGAATACAATTAACTCAAATTTTTGTAACTGAGGTCTCTCCCCACTCCCGAAAAGTAAAGAATAAATAATATTTTATACTCTTTTCCACACACACTCCAAATTGTGCAAATGGCTGTTCTTCTACCTTCAACTGTAATGAGTATTTCCACATATCCTTAGAGGACCACAATTCCATCAGGTTTGTGAACCACAGCTTATAGTACTTCAATTCACCTCATTTCTAAAAGCACACTTTGTCATGCTTCTGAAGCCAAGAGGTATCCAGTAGCCCTTGTCCAAAGGACATATGGTAACTTTTCCTTTGTTCCTGAACACTCTAAGGTGTGTCTTAGCCACTGAAAAATGGTCAATTTCCAGGCTTACATTTTAGACTATGGGAGCTGGATATGCCTCACAGACCATTTGTCCAACTCCTACCTCTTACCTTTGGGGAGAAGTGACTTCTCCAACACTGGAAAGGTGAGATATTGTTGCACTTAGAACTGACTATAAAGGCTTTTTGTTTCTTCTGATTATAAAATTTTAAGACTGGCCAGAGACATACCAGTTACAGTTCTCTCTTAATTTTATTAAGCCAATTTCCTTTTGGCCTGATACTTTACACACTTTTAAACATTCCACTGTATGCTTCAAAAATCTCATCCTTTCTATTTTTTTTAAAACCCGCACAATATTTATAGTTCCTTAATTAAGGAGTTCTTTGACACTTACTCTAAATCAAGCACGTGTTTCACCTCCCACACTTTCTTTCCTCCTTCCTCCTCTCTAACTGCCCAAACTCCCCGCACTGCTCTTCCTTCCCAGGCTGCTGTGGGGAAAGGGGATGTGAGATGAGAAAATGCATCACAGGCCATGAGGTGCTGTGTGAAAGGTCCATCGTGAACTGGATCAGCGAGAGGGAAGTTCTGACCCACAGTAGCGTGGTTTCCTTTATAAAGATGACACAGTTTCACTTCAGGGACATCTGAAGGTTGGAACAAAAGGGTCAAGAAAGAAGCATGTGTATTAAAACGGTGGGCAGCAGAGGCTGGGAGCAGCACCTCCAACTCTAGTCACAAGGAGATATAAATACTGCTTTAGGCCAAATCCCAGGACTACCACTGGGAAAGGCCTTGGCAACCTTGGCTCCTGTTCCTGATTTTTATAAACTCATTTTTCCCATTTTTATTGAGATAGAGTTAATATATCACATTGAATGCACCTAATTTTTTGGAAGAAATTTTGCTGCTCAAATGCTGCTCAGAAGAACTGAAAAAGAGGTCTAGAGAAGAGCCAGAAGTACAAACAATCAGGTTTGATTCAGGAGCAGGGTTGCCAGATAAAACACAGGATACCCAGTGAAATATGAATTTCAGATAACAAATAATCTAAAATTCAAATTACATTGGATGTCCTGTATTATTTGCCTGTTAAATCTAGCAACCCTACTCTGGAGTGCAGGGAAGGCTTCCTGGAAGAAGCAGGATTTAGCCAGTGCCTTGAAGGGCAGGAAGATTGAAATAAGCAAAGAAACTCAGGGAAGAGAAAGCTGGCCAGATGTGCAAGAAAAACCTGCAGAGTTGTCCCAGGGCCAGACGACTAAGTGTCCTGGAGGTCAGTCTAATGGGTCCAGACTTAAACTATAAGCAGTAAGGAGCCACAGAAGGCCTTAGAGCAGGGAGGCCATGGGGTCGAGTACTGGGAAGCTCCTGGGTAGGAGCAATGCAAGGAGAGATAGAGGCAGGACCTCAGTCAGGAGCACCTGCATTGGTTCAAGTGGAAGTAGTAAGGCTCTTCCCTGGATTTTGGGCAGCAGGTTTGGAAATACTTCTGGAGACTGAGGAGGCCAGAGGTGTTTCAAGTGGCATCTGGGCAGACCCAGCAGCCTGAGCCGCTGCGGTACTACCAAGGACATTAACAAGTTTGGCAGGTGGTTGACTCTTGTTTTCTTGATAGAAGCCTTTCTACTGCAAAGAATTGACTCAGTGTAATTAACCTCCTTTCAACCACAAACTTTGACACTTAAGGTCACGTTGCCAAATGGGGTCTTAAAGATCACCCACGATGAGCTGGGGTTTCACGATGAGCATTTATGGGACCACTGCTCTGTTGTATCAAAGCTCCTTCACATTCTGATCTTGGTGGAGCCTCACCAGCTTCCCTGAACTTACTATCTCCACTTTCAGAACAGGCCCAGATAAATGAGTGGGTGCTGTCTGGTTCCATGGCTAAAAGGGCCAGAGTGAGTAGCAAAGCCCACTTCCAGCCCTGTTTTCACTACGCAGCATATAGCACCTTTGGGAGCCTTGCAAAGCCCCACCAGCACCCCCATGTGACCCTCACAGTCACTCTGTAATATAGGCAGGGAAAGTCTCGTGATTCCCACATGCAGAGGGAGAAGGGAAAACTTGAAGCCCAGCTCGAGGCTGTCTGGACTGTGTCCGCCCAACTCCTGATTGGTCCTCTCTCTGCTGCACAACCCCTTTCCTGGAGTGAGGGGTGCAGTGGAGTGTCTTTCCTCACCCCAGGGGAGCCCGCTGGCTGCCACACACATTTCAGGATGTACTATCTTTCACTCTCTCATGGCAGGCAATGCCACCTTCCTGAGGAGGAAACAGATCAGTGGAAAAACCACATCCTCAACTTCACTTTTTGCCTTTGGTACCTATTGGAATGTTCTGGCCTCTTCTTATATGTATTTTCTCTAACATGAGCACTTTTATAGTCCGTGTGTGCGAGTGTGTATGTGTTTATTTATTCCTTAAAAGAATGATTTGGCTTTAAGAATGACAAATGTACAGCCCTGGCCAGTGTGGCTCAGTTGGTTTGACATCATCCTGTGCACCAAAAGGTCACCTGTTGGATTCCCGATCAGGGCACATGCCCGGGTTTTGGGTTCAATCCCCAGTTGGGGTGCACACAGGAGGCAACCAATCTATGTTTCTCTCTCACATAGATGTTTCTCTCTCTCCCTTCCTCTCTAAAATCAATTTAAAAAAACATTTAAAAAAGAATGACAAATGTCCAAGGAATCTGTCCTGGTCTGCTGCTGGTGCTGGAAACAGGGTTTGGAGAAGGAAAGAACAGTCCCAGTTGTAAAGAGCCTAGGATATAGATAACAGGAAACACAGGCCTGGGACTCAACCCTCTTTCAGACAGCTCAATCTGGGGTTTGGCTTCGTTCCTCTCCCCTCTCCCCCTCCCTAGAACCTCTAACGCTCCAGTCAGTCATTCTCTAACATGCAGACTTTGTTCCAATGACAGAAACAGCCTCCTTGCAGAATTCCTACAAGCTTCCTATGCAGGTCTACAGCATAACTAGGAAGCGAAGGAAAAAAATAACTAAATGCGCTTTTCACATAACTGAACTTAATCTTTTTTTTGTATCCCAGAGACTAAAAAATAAAATAAAGCCTTTAAAAGGCAGAGGAACAGTTTCAATGCAGGGGGAAAGTCAACCCTGCACTTATAAAACAGGTGCTGGCTGCCCCGGAAAGTGAGATGGCCACTCCTGAGCGCCTGTTCCCTCTGGGCCTCGGCTCCCACCTGTAGTCCACAGGCAGGCACAGTCACCCTTACTCAGCATCTGCTCGGCACGCTCTCTGGATGGCTGTGCCAGGAGCGGAGCTACCTTGTGTTGAAGGAGTGAGCAAATGAATGAGTGCATCCAGTCTCTGTGGAGTACACCACCTCTTTCGGAGCTGTCTGGAAACTGACACAGCTCAAGCAAATGGCCTGAGGCTCCAAAACCATTCATGTAATGCCTTGACCAGCCCAGCCAGTGGACACTGGAGGAGAGGTGAAAATACTCAAGGTCTCCTTCCATGTGAGCTCCCACAACCTGATCTCTGTTTCACCCCTTCTCCTGTGCTGCCGTCACTGGAATTACTTGCAAATCCCAATGTTTATCCTGCCTATTAGATAGGGCACTCGCGGAGAACCTAGGCAGAGCACAGGCGAGTGGAGAGAGTTCTGAGAGTCCGTTTTCTCATCTATAAAATGGGTATGATGGATGATAAACCTGGTGCTGATACCACCCTGGGTATGAGTTCCTGCCAAGGCAGTGGAGCATGCATGGTGGTTACAACAGGAGCTTCAGAGGGGGCGGAGCTGAGTTCAAATCCCAGGTCCGCCAACTATTATTATTATTATTATTAATTTTGCGGGAGGGGCAAGTTACTTAAACTCAATGAGTCCCAGTCCCCTCTTCTGGAAAACGAGGATGACAAAGGAACCTGCCTCCGGGCTGTTAAGAGGATGACACCAAACAGTGACTATAAAGTATACAACATAAAGTGCCTGGCTCGTGACACGCACACAGTCGCTATTAGACACGCACAATGAGTACTATTATTCTTATGAATGGATTTTAAAACACTTAGTGACTTTGAGTGCTGGGGATGCGGTGTATTGTGGCACCACCCCAGCACTGCAGGAAGTAGGTATTCATAACAGTCGGTATGTGCCCCAAGGACACAGACGAAAAATCATCCTCTGAGAGTTAAGTTACGAAATCATAAAAAACCACGGAAGAGATAAACACACCATCTTAACATCACATAGTGGCCCCGGGCTCACAGGCCTCCATAGTGGGAGCAGGAAGCATGCACAGATGGACCCATGGGGTCAAGCAGAAGCCCAGTTGGTTGGCAACAATGAGAGGTGGTCAAGGTCACGGAAGCCCACCTCAGCAGATCCAGGGGACACAGCTGGGGTGGGGGACATTCCAAGGGAGGGGAAAAGAGCCCCAGGTATCTCAGCAACCCAATGCCACAAAATATTTAAATTGCGAAATCCTGGAGCAAGAGAAGTTACACAATGGAGGAAGTGATGACCAAAGACCCTGCATTGATCCACAGGATCCAGGCCCTTTGGAATGTGGGCTGAAGGAGCAAGGCAAGGCTCAGACTCTTAGCTGTGACCTACTAATCAAGTACCTTCTGCCCTGTGAGGGGGGTTTCAAACCTCCACCCGCAGAAAGTGTTTGCTAAATGAGTGTCTAAATGGACAGGTCAAGTGCCAAGTTATTCNACTCTTAGCTGTGACCTACTAATCAAGTACCTTCTGCCCTGTGAGGGGGGTTTCAAACCTCCACCCGCAGAAAGTGTTTGCTAAATGAGTGTCTAAATGGACAGGTCAAGTGCCAAGTTACACTCATCTGCTAAAAGACAATTTCTTTTTTCTTTTTTTTTTTTTTTACAAATGTACTTACTGATTTTTAGAGAGAGAAGAAGGGAAGGGAGAGGGAAAGAGAGAGAGAAACATTGATCAGTTGCCTTCTGTATGTTCTCCCTGGCAAACTTTCGGTGCATGGGACAACGCTCAATCGAGCCACATTGGCCAGAGCTAAAAGACACCTTCTTGCTCACATTCAGCTGTAAAGGAACCAGGATCTTTAAGGAATGTTGCCCCCAAACAGGGATTGTGAATCTTGCACAATCCCTCTACCAAGAGGCAGTTAGTTGCTGGTTGATAGGTTTGTGAGTTAATTTTAATTTTCTTCTTTACATTTTCCAAATTTTGTAAAATAAGTATGTATTACTTTTAAGAACAGAAAATATAGATTATCAGAGGCCCAACAGATCACATACCTGACAAAAGTTTCACAGTGCCCTGCTCATATATTAAAGTATTTGCACAGGGGGCCCTACAACCCATTTGACCTGTTAGTACATGTGCTTAGTGAAATTCTAAGGTATTTGTTTAGAGGACTCAGGAGCTTTGTATGTTTACAGGTCTCAGTGTATGTATGTTTTAGGGAGTGAGGAGGATTGTGCTAGGGGTTATGAAGGGGGTGGGCTGGAGTAGCTGTACTTCTAAAACATATTCCTTTTAATATGTGCAAAAGCATTAATTTTCATTTGCCTAATTTAAGAGCATGACCTTGTCCCCTTAGAATTTATATAGTTAAAAAAATAAATGTCTAAAAAGAGAAAGATAATAGAGTAGGAAAAGAACAAGTTAGTGCAAAACAGAGAAATGGCCCAAACCAGCCACAAAGCAAATGTCAAATTTTTCAAGGTCAAATGTCCAATCCTTACCTTAATTGTGGGTGGGCAAAAAAAATCACCCTTGTTTCCACAGAGCAAATGTTGCCCCCTGCTCTCCCCAGGCCCTCCCTTGTTCGGCGACTTAACTATCCCTTCTCCTCACTGAACACACTTTGTCATCAGGCTCTTTGTTTCCCGTTTAGTCTTAGATTGCTGCCAAACTGCTGGCTCCAAGCTGCCAAGCCATGTGCTTGCATGACTGAAACCAAGAAATAACACGGGGATACACAGGCCCCAAATGGTCCTCAGTCTGGCACAGAATTCCTCACTCAAAACACAGCTCTTAATGACCGGCTGTGTTCCAGGACCTAGGGATACAGAAAGACAAAGGTGGCCCAGGCCCTACACCTAAAAGCTCATGCACAGCCTGGCGGAGAGACAGGCCCCCACAGCTCACCAGCTACACACCAAACAGTAGAAATTGTGTGAGAGGCATATGCTCCGGGCACCTAAGAGAAGGAGCCATTAATCTCTGTTGTGTGTGGAGGGGGGGTTAGTTTCACACAGCAGGTGGCATCTGGGTAGACTTCTGACCCATGGAAATTGGGCCAGAGAAAACCCAGGCAGAAAGGCCCAGATGACAGTCCACAGCCAAGGTGGACATCTAGGTGAGGCAGGGGAGGGGCACGAGCCTGGGGCAGGTATGAAAGGTCAGGAACCTCACACTAAGGAATCTGGACTTTGTCCAACAGGCTCTGAGTCTTTCAGGTTTCAGGGTCCACTATGAGTTCAACAAATCTGAGGATGGCTAATGGATTATTTTGCCCAATAAGACCATTAAGACCAAAACAAAACTCACACCAACTACTACATATTATTATCATCATTTCATAAAAGGGCGTTTTAATACCAAAATAGAACATAAACCCAGAATGAAGGACAGTCCATCCCCCTGCTGATGGCACATGTCCACTACACAGTCCTGTTCTCATTCTCCAGACACAGGGCTGCAAGCCACAGCTGTGGGCCTGAACAGGACAGCTCAGACCTGAGGGTTACACCCGTTTGTGATATGCAAAAAGTGACATGATCCCAAGTATGATCCCAATGGTACCGTAGGGTGCAGCTGGTGCTCCTGGGGTTGGGTGGGGGGCACTGCCATGGTCACATGGGTTTGGGAAACACTGAGACCCTTTCAAAGTTTATTATTCATACACTTATTTTTATAACTGAAAGTGCAAGTGATTCTTGGCGACTGCGCCGCACTATGCAGTGTTTCCCTTACTGATTTGACCTTGGAAACCCCTTCTCAGCGCTGACAGCGGGAAACTCCTCAGGCGGGAGTCAGCAGGCTCGTTCATTATTTAGCAGGCGTGAGGTTAGCGTGGGCGGACCGAGAACCGCAGCGCAAGCAGCCAGGAGGCGCCCACAAGGGTAATGAAGGACGCCCATGCACCCGCAGGCAGACAGCAGCGTGTACCTCAAGGTCGGAGTTGATGGAGGGAACCTCGGAGGAGCTGCTGGAAGACACCCGGGCCCGGATCACCTGAATGGGAGGGTAGGAGGGGGGCTCCTGCAGGGACACGTCTCCAGCGCTTATCTGTCCGTCGCCCGGCAGCCTGGTGGCGCTGCAGCCTGCCTGCAAGGTGGCATCTATCATTTTTTATCTGTATTCTATCAATCATCTAACAACTATCTAGCTTTCTATCTATATTCTATCAATCAATCATCTGCCTATCTATATCTGTTTATCTATTTCTCTATCATCTATATTTCAGAAGAGAGCTTCTCCCCACAGGGGTCGCGGAGGGTGGGGGTCCGCTGGGCTTCCCCAGAGATCCCTGAAGCTCTGAGGGCTGGGGTTTCAGAGCCCCACAGTCATTCCACTGAAACACCGCAGGGGAACAACTTGACTTCTGGACCAGACTAACTGTGACCTTGGCAAGAAATTAACCCTCTGAGCCTCAGCTTCCTAATCTATAAAAGGGGGTGGTAATCCCTGCTTTGCCTCCTTTGAAGTCATGTCACAGGGCTCCCTTGTAAAGTCCTGGATACATAAGAAGAATGCCTATTGTACTGGACCCCAAATCACACAGGGCTCCAGCATGACTGGAGGCTGACTCCAGCGTAAGTGCGGTTTCATGTGAGAGTCTCTGGACAGGCACAGAAAGTCCACAGAAGAGACAGAGGCAGTGTTCTGGGCGGCCCCTGGGTGGGGTGTGGGAAGCGGGGGAAACAGAAGCCTCCCAGGCAACAACCATAGATCCTATGAAAACCTTGGGGCCTGACCTGAGGCAACAGATAAAATGGAGCTTTCAAATATGCCAGTCCTTTGATGCCCATGACCCATCGCCCTTGGCCCCTCAGTTCAGCCTGAACTGCGCTGCAGCTCTTGGAAAATCTCTCCTTAGGACTAGTGTTCGGGAGGGGATGCTGGGAAGACGACTAAGCAGCCTGTGGCTCTTGCTGCCCACCTCCAGGTGGCCATCCAAACAGGACATACGTCGGCACACATGGCCTCAGGGCACCTGTCTCACCACAGCCTTGTCCACTGAGACATTCTCATGAAAAAGGACAGTTTGCTAAGTGAGCTGGCCTGATATGACAGCACTGAGAGTACATTCTCTTTATGAAAGCGCAGGTCCCAGAATCAGACAGGCTCAGTTTAAGAGCTATGTCTGTGATTTTCTAACTATGGGATTTGGAAAGTGACTTAACCCTCTCTGTGCCTCAATTTAAAATAATAAAAGTATTAATTATTAAATAATAACAATAGAAATAGTATCTATCTCATAGGTATTATGAAAATTTGTGTTAATGATAATTTTAAAAACAACCATTTATCAAGGGCTTACCTGGTGTCAGCCATTATGGCCAAGGGCAGTATGTAGAGACCTAAAGGGCACAGACTCAGGTAGAGACAAATCTGAGTCCTGGTTCTACCACTGACAAACTGTGTGGCCTTGAGCAAGTTGTGTAACCTCTCTGTGCCCCATTTTCCTTATGTGAAAATGAGGATAATACTTCAAGGGTTGGCTGTGAGGATTAAAAGAGTTAATCTATATAAAGCACTTAGACCAGTACTCTTAAGCTCTATGACCAGTACAATAAGCATCGTGGAAGCACTGGCTTAGTATTTACTCAGAGCCTGGCAAGTAGTTCGCCCTCAATAAACAGACCATCATGGGAATGGGAGCTCTAGAGCCCACTGAGGTCACCTCCAGCCCAGACGGACCGCGGGGCTCCAGACTCCCTGCGGGGAGCTATCTCAAAGACACCTTTCGCCCTCTGGTGGACACTGAAGCAAGAGGCCAGGGGCAAGTATTTGCTGAAAAATGCGCTGGCTGGCCTGGGTGGGAGAGAACCGAGGAGGGACACATTCTTCTCTCATGGCATCTGTTCCCCAGCAGGAATCTACCCAACATGCAGGTACTGGAAGGGTTAAAGTAAATGCATTTTTGCACTATTATTTTTCCGAAGTTCCATGATTTAAAAATGTCTTGTGCAAAGCTTTGGTCAGATGCTGCCAGGGTTCCCTGCACTTTTTCCCCAGGGCCTCCCATCACCCACCCACCCAACCTCCCGTCAGAGGAAGGACTTAATGGCGGAAGTGGGCTCTTGATTGTGAAGGCATGCTCCAAATATCCCTGAGCTTCACTTACAGCAAGCACAGGTTATTTGCTCCCACTTTCCACGGGCAACAACAGAGAGTTAGACTTAGGTCCCAAACTCTCTGATCGTCAGTATGTCCCGTGGGCAGCTCAGTGGGGGCAGCTGCCACCGTACTCAGTGTTCCCAGCACACACAGAGCCTGTGACTACACCAGGGTCTAGGCAAACAAGACAGGAGGAGACAGTTTATATCCCAGCAGGAAACAGACAACAAACAAAAGTAAAAGATCGTGGGAAGTGTTTTGCAGAGCATTGAAAAGGGTAATAAAGTAAAGGGATATGACAGAGAGAGAGGCTACTTCTCAGTGGGCGGTTATAAGACCTTTGGAGAAAGTGACATTTTCATTGAAAACCAAAAGACAAGAAAAGGCAGCCATGTTAAAAAAGAAAGAAGAAAGAAAGAAAGAAAGAAAGAAAGAAAGAAAGAAAGAAAGAAAGAAAGAAAGAAAGAAAGAAAGAAAGAAAGAAAGAAAGAAAGAAAGAAAGAA